ACTCTCACTCAGCCAAATAGCGGAAAGAACTTAAAAACTATAAACTTTGAAAAGGGAAAAAAACTCTACAGCTCAACATTTCTCGGGATAAGGTGTTTGACACAAGAAGGAGGAGAGCCTGGCGTTGGCCGGGCGATCCGACTGGTACTAATATATTATATAAATCTAGATAGTTACTATTTATCTCATTCAACTGTTTTTTGAGTTGGAGAGTATTTTCATATATTAAAGAAAATTGACTTCCAAGGGAGTTGAAGGGGCGTGACACACACTAAAAGATGACAGCTGAGGTCACACGGTCAGTGCTACGCCGGCATCGCCCAGCACCAAAGCCGTGAATGGTACTCACAAATGTTGTTGAGTGATAATATTACCATTATGAGCTGTCGTTTATATAAGAAACTACACAGCTCGTGGCCCACAAAAAGCATTGGTTTATTGTATGCATTCTTCGGTTCCGGGCCAAGTTTCTGGCCGGAGAGGGCTTGACTCGATCACAACCCTTCACAGAACGAGGGAAAATACAACCAATTTTCTCAAGGAATAAATTGTGCTATAAACTAACGAAGAAATATACATATTCAAGTTTCAGCAATTGATAGTAACAGAGGAGCGGGAGAGCCAGTTAATTATACATGCAGAAATTATTGATGAGAGCATTGTTGATTGTGGGCAGATGTAGAATTCCTGTATGCAAAGATCGCTGTTAAAGTTGAACACGTTAGCATAAAAACTACTTCTGATCACTACGATCTGCGTGAAAAAACTACAATACTCACCCATGATCCGAAAAATCGCAAAAAAAAAACTCGAATTAGCATCTTATTCGACATTCCTTTATTGGGTTGATTCTAACTTTTTCCATGCGTAGTGTTATATGGTTGAACTCATGTTGTTGAGCTCTATAGAGTGGTAAACTTAAAATTGGGAAGAGGTCGATTCTCAAGTCGACGCTCGCTATATTTATAATCACAAGTTTCTCCCACTAAAAGTATTCAGTGAGTTGTGGAGCAGCTATCATATTATAAAAATAAGCAGCAAAAGCTACTCAGTGATATGAAAATCTCCTAACGATTTACACTTCAGATTAACACCTTTAGCACCAATTTTCTACACTGTTCCGTCACTCGGCCACCCAGTTAGCCATGTGGTTCGAGTGGCCGAGGCAGCACATTGGTTGATCGGTTGCTTGCTTTGCGCCGTCAATCGGACATTCTCAGAAACATAGAAAAAAAGTTACGGTCTTTGAATCTGTATCATCATGTCTGTGAGCCGATGATGCACAATATTTCCACAGAAGCTGTTTTTCAGCACCTTGAGCTGATCCCAGGTGCTGTAACCAGCTTCTGTGGAAATGTGGGTGGTATCCTTCGACCTCAGCGACTTTTGCAGTGGTCACTGAAGAAGTTTCTTCGCATTTCGACAATAACCCACCTATTAGTGTTGCAGCAGTCAGAAACCGTTTTACGTACTACACATTCAAATGCAGCCGCTTTCCTTATGAATAAGCTTGAAAAAGATGCAAATAATCAATGCTGTAAGGTTTTTGCTGCGAGCAAGAGATTATTTACAAACACTCCGAAAATCTTTGTTATGTGGGGGACTGTCATCAAAAACTTGCGCTTTCTTTTACAAATGTCATATATACTGTTTAACGTTCTTACGCATTCGTTCGCGAGTTTATTGGAAACAGTTGCTTATAGGAGTTGTACACATTCAGTTACATCTGCATATTTTTGAAAATGCGTTTCAATGGCATAGTTTCACTAATGTGTTCAATGGTGAAAGAATGCCTTCTGGTTATGATTATAGCGATTGTCGTTGCTAGTAACGTTTCCCAGGAACTTTGATGGACGAGGACTTTTTCAATTTTCAACTTGGCATCTATATAGAGCTGGACGAGCTGAGTGGGACTGTAAAATATTATGTATGCAGGATAAGGAAACGACGTGATTTCCCATATTTTCGTGACCTTTTGAACAATCAGGGTGGGTATTGTACCTCTCGTGATGGGAGTCATTTTTACGTGATTCAGATATCCTGACCGCTTTGTAATGCAAAATGGAGGCTACGTTTCATGTGTCGAAGGATGTGAGGACGGTTGGCAAGGCGAGAAGGAGATTTCCACTGATGTCAAAAAATCGTAAGCATCAGCATCATCTCCCACTGGAAACAACTCGAAAAGGGTGTGATTATCGCTTCTTATCGGGGTCTATTTTGAACTGAAGAACTGAATGTGACCGCTAAGTTCTTTTCAATAGACTCTTTTCTTTACGTATAATATCAGTATGCACTCAGTGTTGTGGAACTGGATTTACACATGTATAGCCGATTTTTTGAAGGATTTATCTACCGCTTCTGAAGAAAATCATGTCTGAGATAATTCCACCAATGTTGAGCCTGGAGTTGTCGTTTGAAGAGTTTGTTGCGTTGAAGGCATTCGTCAGCTGGCAAGGGGGTAAGCTTTACTCGATTCATGACCGTCATTCCTTTCACCCTACATCCATATAACGCCTATTCGCTACAGCCATTTCCAATATCTCTATTCACGGTCGCGATGCTATGAGACGACAGATCGATGCTATCTCAAATTCACTTCATCTGCACTACCAACGGGTTTGTTAAAGCTCAGCAAAGGCAGTTATTAAAAAAACAAATCAGATAGAGTGTGGAATGGCAAGTGTTAGAAGTGCGTATAAGACTCGACGGTAACCTTCGCACGCGGTCGACTGGTGGAGCCGGATGCTATGATGCTACCTATGCATCTACATATATCGTCCATTGGGAATCGGTGATCTCCGTCAATGTGACAAGCATCAACGGCCTCAGTGATCTTAGCCTTACCCACAGCGTGTTCACTGTCTTGAGTACGAAAGAGCGGCTTATCTCACTTCCATTTCGAGCTTTGAAAATAACTTGACAGCATTGCAATTACTCACAAAGTTTCAGTTCAGTTGAAAAAAAACCTAGATTCCCAACTGCCCACGGTTATAGATGATTCGCATTCAAATAGGTGGTTGGCAAAGCACTCGAGTATACTTGTACGGGGTGTCCAAAAAATAAGGGCGCCATAATTCTAACTCTTATTCGACAAAAATTTTTAAACTATTCCGTTCATTCACTATTTGTAAGTTGCATAGGTAAGTTTTCCTGCAATCTAGTCGCTAGTCATCAAGGTGTTTCTAAGGCTTATTTTATGCCACTTGTGGTAATTTGTAGGCGAGTTGCGAAAGTTCATAGAAGATCTCGTTGATCCAACAATGACCATACAGAAGGCTAGTAAGCGATGTAGAGACGAAGGATAAATCAAGAGCAGATCAGCAAAATTGACAAAGTTCAGAGTTTCAAGGATAGGACAGTTGAAGTAATTCGTTCGCAAGTCTATCCTTGTCCTAGATGACCCATAAAAAGAATGGCTGAAAGTGTAGAAGTCGTCGGTAAGACGGATTGTCAAAAAGAAGCTTTATGGCCCCTCCTATCGTACCCAAAAATGACACCTCATTCTCGAGGGTCCGGGATCTTCTCCCCGAAAACGGAGAAAACGTTCGCCGCAGCCGATCGCAAGCAAATGAGCTGTGTGAAGAACGCTAAAATTGCAATAACGAGGCAAATGGTCCGCGACAGCCGCGGGCGGCAGACCGATTTTACAAAACCGTTCCTACTTCCCGTCTCCCAGCGCAGTCACGCGCTTCGAAGGGAAAGGTTCAAACTCCCACTGCAAGGATAGGGTGGCCGCCGCGTAACCTTTGCAGCTTGCCGTGGAAATTCGGAGAGAAGTTCCGGCACCCCATTTCCGATGCCGACAGAGGGCATAAGATCGTAAACTAGAGAAGGTTGCTGACTACCTTCGTTGGAGACCTTCCTCTCACAATTGTTTTTTCTGACGAGGAAACTGAGAGGGAATCAGGGTCTTCACGGAAGTGTCGATCTTCATCAAAGGAAGCAATCGTGTTTTGGCTAGGAACATCAAAAAAGCTCACGAAATCGTAATGCTAATGGCAAAATAATGGTCTGGGGATGGATCGATTGATGGACAGGCGTTGGTTCCGTCGGTACTTGCGTGAAAACTCCTAAAAAGACGTATCCATTGAACATTATTAATGGGCATGCTGAAGCCTTGATTCGATCCTTTTTTTTTGGAAAAAAAATCGTGGTGTTCTCAGAAACCGTCCTTTTCGCCAGGTCTTAAGCCACCTGACTCCGCTGTGTGATCCCTAATTGAGGGAGAAGCCCCTCGAGTGTGTCCCGGTTCAGAGATCTTCAAAGCAGTATTGAAGAAAAAGAGACGAAAATTTGAAGGAGCGCTACCTGCGTGCAACGTGCGAGGAGTTCGTGAACAGACTCCGGCCCTGAACCAATCTTCAGGGAGGATATTTTGAAAATTGAATGCGATTAGTTGTTGCTCATCAAGTGTACTGGAAGGTATACATAGTTTCCATTTCTTTTTCTTAGCATGGAAGCGCGAAATATAAACACCATAATTTTTGGACTTCCTGTAGATTCGAATTTTTTGAGTGCTCAATCAGCCTGCACTCTTGTCTTAGACAGAAAAGATTGCTCAAAATGCTTTATTCAGAATAATATACCGGCAGCCGAACGAATGGGATCAATTATCCTTCTGCTCAGCTCGATTTTCGTGAGTGTTTATGTATAGCATTATTTTGGATGGATTCATTTTCTGAATCGACACATTGAATGATCAGCAAAAGGTTTATGGAGCAGGGTCCATTTGAAAGTGTGAAGCCACGAGATGTGCATATCAGTCAACTTCCCATAAGAGTCATGAAAATCCGGGCCGTAGGGACTGGAAGGATTTGCGGGGATGACCGTTGTGTGAACAGTTCATCTATAATATATTACCACTGATCTGCTTCCACTTTTGGACCCGAGAACTAGTGCGGTGGTTAGGGCGCCACGATGTTCATCTCCTACGTAAATCAAATAACTTCACCAATTTAAAAGAAACTTGAGTGAATGGCGCAACCCTTATTGAAAGAGAAACGATTCTGATTTCCTTGAATTAGAAGAATATTTTCGTATTTCAACATCTTTTTGCTCTATACAAATTTCATGCTCTACAGTCAACTGGGCTGGATTTCGTCGAGAAGCATCGACAAATCGAATTTTTCGATTTATGGCATTTGGATTCCTTGCTTCTTCAATTCCTCAATCTGGATTCGATCCTGGCCGAGTTGAACAGCGCACAGTCATAAATAAATCATCATAAAAAGAACTTTGTGTATGCATTCACATGATACCAACTGGTTTCGTAAACACGAATCGCGCTCGAAACATCCTATTGAAACTATAGCCTCATTGCACAAATCTAGCGGTGCTTTTCACTGCTCTATCAGATCCTTGGAGGACTCAAATATGTAAACAGAAGTATAGTACATGTATGGTCGAAAAACGGGTCAGAAAGGGCGTAATGAAGCTCTAAAACCGGCGGGTCCGCTGACACACACAAAGCGGCCGTGTTGTGCCGGCGTTGTTAAGACTACGCTATCCATAATACAGCGCTAGGATGTGACGAATGTTAGGAGCACGCTTATGTGGGAGGCCACACATATGTATAGCTATAGTTGGCAACCTCGTACAACCCCTTTTCTGCTACATCGTTAGGACGAGACGGTTTGTACGCTTGTGTGGGAGAGTCCCAGACGGTTACAGACGGCATTCCCCCCCCCCCTCTCTCCCCTTCTTTGTTACTTTCCGAGGCTTTCTATTCTACAGAGCCCGCCGTTTTTTCCGCCTTCTTCGCCTCCCTTGCACGGTTCCGCTCAATGGCTTCCCTTTGAACTACATACCTCAGACTTATCGTGAAGTGTGCCTCGGAGTAGTCGCTCCGTTTCAAGCTTCGCTCAGCAGTCAAGAAAATTAGCAAATCGAGCCATGAATGTTTTCGGTGCTTGCTGAACACAACTTACTCGTATTGTGCATCCTAATTGACCGAAGGTGGTTTGGTTTTTGGTGAACAGGTATGAGGTTCCTGAGGAGAAAACTATTTTTTCGATCCACATTACGTGACCCCTTTCACATTCAGATTTATTGACCTGCACACAAAATTAGTTAGTCTCGTGGTGCATGAAATAATTCTAAGATAACTTTCAGAAAGTCATGGATCTAACTGTACATTTACAGTCACTTATGGTGTTATGAGACACGAGACCCACCCCACCAGGACTTTTGTTCCTCAGGGGGACCCAATAAACAGCAAGAGAGATCACAGAAGGAAGTGAGAGATGGGGAGAATAGCAAATAACAGGGTCAGAACAGCAAATCATTATGTCTCCATAGTTTCCCTCTCGTTCGTCGAGAAACTTTCTGCAAGCTTGGACTCGAAAACACAGTTTCCATAACGGCATAACAGCAGCTTCGAAGAAAAGCAACAAATCCGAAGAAACCACTGGAATATAACTTCCAAGATATGTAAGAAGTCAGTGTGTGTCCTGAAATAATTCTTTTCAGCGACCAATTCCAGTAGACTATGAATCAGCATGCGCCACCGCCTTTGCCTCGTTGAAAGTAGTTTGCAGTGTGAGCAGGGTAGTCGACAAGGCGACAGCTGTGGCGCACCCGACCCTCATCCGTTCGGCCCTATTACCATGATGGAAAATATCAACTCAGACTCATGACAAAAGCTCACCTCCATTTTTCTTCCACGGGTTTCTATCGGTAAACTTATGCTGGCGATTAGTCCGAGTAGTGCAGTTGTTGCATAAATTCCTATCGGTAAGGAGAGGGATTTCCCTGACGCTACCTGAAACCAATTAGTTAGTAGTTCTGATTCTTGATTTCTCCATTTATACCCAGACAAACTTTAGGTAATTATAGCTGTATCTAAAACGTCTCCATTGCCAGCCATTCGGTCAGCATTTCGTTCTAGGCAGTCGACAGTTGCTCACAAGTTCGAAGAACTCTACTTTTATTATAACAGTGAGAGGCTGAGATCAAATTGTTGCCATACTTGCTCACTGTGAGCGTTGAAACGAAAGTCCAAAGACTTGTGGCGTTAACCAATCCCGTCTGAGGAATGCACCCATGTATTCGACTACCATCCAGAAACCTAGTGGCGTATTGAATGTGTATGTGGCCTATACAATGAATTGCGGTGGCCAGCCGATGTACAAGTCAGTGCTTTTATCCTCCCAGACGAGTCTCGCAACAATTAAAGGCACTGTTAACAAAAAAGTAAGGGTAACCTTTTTTTGACGGGAATAGATAGAACTACTCTAGAATAAAGCGATAACAACGAAAAAGCGCAAAAAAGCGAGGAACAAAAAGAATTACAAAGGGACAAAAAAAGAGCTGGAAAGAGGGGGTGGACGAATTTCACATTGAAAAAACTGCGGTTAGGGAGTGTTCGAGCGAGAATGCATGAAGGCGGCGCAATGTCTGCAATACAGACAACACAATGAGATTAACGGAGTTTCTAAAATAAAAAAACATTGGTACTATTCTACTATTACACCCCCAGAACTATTCTACCGTTACACCCCCAAAAACTAAAAATTTTAATTTTCGATGAAACTTCGCTTATAGGAGTAATCCGTTGCCCTGATAACGAATATGACCTTCATTTTTGGCGTCGGCGCCATTTGGCTCCAGTTGGCACCAATTTGGCGCCAAATTGGCGCCAAATGGCGATAGCACCAAAAATGAATGTCATATTCGTTATCAGGGCATCGGATTACCCCTATAGGCGAAGTTTCATCGAAAATAAAAATTTTGAGTTTTTGGGAGTGTAATAGTAGAATAGTACCAAAACATTTGCATGCAATAATCTACTCAAAATATGTTAAAATCTTCAATAAACTTACGAGAATACTTGAAGAAAGCTACCGTGAAAAATTCATAACAAAAAACAATAGAAATAACAAACATAAAATAGAAATAACAGCCGAAAACTAGCTCCTGTACGAGGCGGTCGACCAGCTGACCATTCCTGGCAATTTGCCAAACAGCGTATTGATTTTTCACCAACTTCACTCCAGTGCGAATGTGGTGAAGGACAACTTGAACACGTAGTCAGCCTAACGAGGGGAGGAGGCCTCCCGTCCCCCACTGTTCCTGGCCTTATTGTGCCCTATCCAGCCTTTTCCGACCTAATTCCTGCACAAATGTTATCAGAGGGGGCTTAGAATTCTAACCATGTGCATATCTTCGAAACCATTTATTCGTTAACAGTGCCTTTAACTCCGGAGCGATGGAATACTTGGTTGCCCTAAGCAGATATCGATCCGGGATTTGAACCTCAGACTATGCGTGTGTGAAGTGCGCCACTTGCCACTACACTACCTCCGCCTTTCATCATTTCTGGTATACTTAAATGTTGTCTTATCCACTGGATCAACAACTTCACGAAACGATGAGACCTGGTTTGGAACCTTGCTGGAATAAATTGCCACAAATAACGAAATTGGAACATTGGCAAAATTACCTGAGCTACGAAGGGCGTGATTATGGCTCCTATTCGCGCCATAGCTGATGACGCCCCAAGGCCCACAGCTCGTAAAGTTGTCGGGTAAACCTAAATAAACTCCATCCCATGAAAACGACATGTATTTCACGTAATCGATCCCGTCACTGAGATTAGGAACTACCATTCTAAGAACTTCCCGAGTGAATCAGGCTTCTGTTACGGTTAAGGGGTGTAAAGCTTTGAGACAGTCTCGAGCCGCAGCACGCCGGCAACCAAAAATCGGTTCGGGCCCCGTTACAATTGGATTAAAGATGGACTGTTGAAAAAACTGCAGGTTCGAGTCCCGGCACAAAAATGACCTCCTCTTTTTCTTTGTCTAACGAAAATGACTTAAAAATAAAAAGAGTCCGAGTTCGTTTTTGTCGACAGTTGCGTTGAAAGGTTAACGTTGCACAACTGCTGTTCCCGCACCCGTGCCCCGGTTGAAGCTTGAAGTCGGAAGATCAATAAAACACATATGTGGTCTCTACTAGTATTGAAGGACATACCTCTGGAGTGTAAACATAGGCACATTGGAATGCACCCGAAATGAATGCACGAGCGACGAAAATCAGAGTGGTGACGGTGAACCTGCAATTTCAATTCAAATAGCTATCGAAATGTAGGAAGTTCTCATAGCATGACAACAACTGCAACGAGGCCTTTAAAACTAATTGATAACCAACAATTTAGAGTTTCGGTACGATCTTTTGCGCCAGTTTCCGCTCCAAGTGCCAGCTCAGCCTCCCCTACCAAAGCAGTACTATGTGGATAAATTTCAAACTTGCAATTTCTTGATGTTTGTTGTATAGCCCATAGCCCAAGCTCCCGCCAACAATCACAGTTAAGAGTGAAGTCGAGTACGTGGCCCACTCTAGAGCAAATTCCGAACACTCAAGCCTAACAGACCAATTAGCTCCTACAAGCATCAAAGCGTGCACACCATGTATTTACATTTAATTGCTTTCCGGATGGAACTCGACTGCATGGCGCAATTTGAAAAAAGCATTCACGATATTTTAGGCCATCTGTGTACAGAGCTTAACGTGCTGATTCCAACGGCTCCTAGAATTCTCCATTCGGAATCGAAACATTCAGAAAAGACGAAAAAGGCGCGAGTCTGCGGTGTTCGCGTGAATTTTTGAGGTCTTAAGGCGAGTACTGTACATCCAAATGTGAATGGCCGGGAGAGAACGTTGGTTTGGTTCTTGCTCACCTGTCTAAGCAGAAGTATAGCAAGTATGTGAAGATGGAAAACACCGCGAATTCCAGCGCCATGGTTTTCTTTCTACCAAACCATTCAATAATTACCACAGTGATTATCAATCCTAAACGATTGTTCTTGGTTAAATGGGTCACAAAAAAAATCATAGAAAGGGAAACAACCATAAGAGTCTTCCGAAAAAATGAAAGGCATTTCTTTATTTTGAACCACAAGTGCAAGGCAATGCGTCATAATTTTGCAGAAACTGCACACTGTAAAAAGAAGCATACAAAAGGCCTTCAAACATCAGACTCACCGGGGAACTCGGCCATCGTTGTCGACAACAGATCAAAATAATCCTTCCTGGTGAGTGGCTGACAAGTTTCAAAATGTGTGCCGTTCGAGAACAGTCCACCGTGGCATTCGTCATGCGATTGGAAGAGTACGGTGGTGAAGAGAACCATACCGTAGTACGAAAAGGCATTGACGGCCCAGATGAACCATAAGAGCAGGGTAGTACGACGTAGATCGGGGGACAACAGGTCAACAATGTCACCACGTTTCTCGCTCTGAAATCGGTTACTGCAACATTCGAATTGGAAAAGAATGGTTTAGCGACTAGTGAACAAAGCTCTTTCCTAAACGAAATGTAAGAAACACTAGCTTGTTCTTTGAGAGAGCTGTTGTTTTTGTCGCGTTTCGTGATGTAGAAGTCTACACAGCAAAAGTTGTGGGACCTGTGGACCGAACGTATAACATGGGACGGGTCTCGAACCTATGCGTTCGTTTGACCGTGTTCTTCAACTCTCACACTACCGGGAGCCCATTTTTCCTCATCTCGCTAATGGCACTGCATTCCTAACTTATCAGCATTCTCACATTCAACGTGGAAAACAATTCAATGGGTTCAGAACTTATCTAAGGCTAGGTATGTTGCTCAATTATCCGTCTGATACGTGACTCGAGGAGTATTCAGCTCTCTCAGGTAGTGTTTGACGAGTTCAACAAGCCCATAATTAAATCAGATGCCATGCTTTTGTGAGATAGACGGGTTTGAGTGAATATTCACCAAATCTAAAGTTCAACCGTAGTACCTGATCGTACAGTCTTGCGGAGGAAACGAACGTTATTTATTTCATCTTATATTACCCAGTGGGTTGTGCGTTCTATCTGCGATGAGTCACCATAATAAAGATAGCTCCGACCAGTGTCATAAATTTTGACAATAGCTTCACCCTCCACTGTGCACGCCCCTCCACTTTGACCACTCTCTTCGCCCCCTGTGGAAAGTTCACCAAATAAATTACTAATCTGAAAAATGTTGCCTGGTGTGGGTGGAGCTTCGCTTAGAATAAGGGTGCCTAGCAGGTTTCAGGCCTTGCTCCTTTCTAGAACTATTTCTCTGGTCTCCAGTTTATGATGGAACCGAGAAATGAATCTAGAAAGTAATTTTAACAATTTAAGATACTCTGTGATCGGTTTTCTATCAGTTCATTTGTCCACCCACTCCTCACCTTTGCTCCTTTTTTCGAAACGAATCAGAATGTTTCATCCCCGGCACCTCCCACTAAGATACACGTCTCCCGGCCCCCTCCCGCTCCCCCAGGGATAGACTTCTTTTCTCAACTCGAGAGCACCCTTTTTTGTTGATTTTCAAATTTTCGCAACCCAAAAAAAACTTTCCGAGAAAATAGGATTCGTAAAGCCACTACGTCGCCTTAAAAATCCGCTCAACTAGAAACCTTGACCCAACCAAGTTGACTTACAGTTTGAGATTGATCGGCGAGGAGCTGCCCCTCAGGAAGCTTCACGCGATTCTCCTTTGCCGCCTTTTGCAATGTCGCTAAAGCCTTTTCCGGATGTCCAGAAGCCATATCATAGCGAGCTGATTCAGGAAGCCACTAAAAGTAAACCGTTTTACAGATTTCAGCTAATCACTTTGAATAGGAAAGGCCTTACAAATGAAAGAAGTCCAAACATTCCTAGAGGCAACGAAGAGAGCAACACCAAAGCCCGCCATCCCCAAGTAGCCATGACGAGGTAAGCCAGGAGTGCTTCAAAGGCGGCTCCAATTGCCCAGAAGGATTCAATCAGCACAACACATTTAGCTCGTTGCTGTGTTGGCAAGAATTCAGCGTACAGTGTGACTCTGAAAAGATGAATTAAATGAGGCAACGGATTAGGCAGTTGTCCAAAAAAGGAGGAGACCGAGAAAATCGGAAAAAGTAACAGCAATAACAACAACAACAGATATTTAGAATGTTTTTCCTCTAAAAACACTGGACACTCAACACTCACGATTGTGGTACGCCTCCGATTCCAAATCCAGTAAGCCCTCGAAAGAATAGCAGCACGTAGAAATTAGGGGATAACGCACTGATTGCTCCCATCACCGACGCAACGAGTGTGGAGGCGATCAGACCCTAGAATAATGAGAACTCCGAGAGGTTCTCACGACTGCTTTGGAAGAACAAATATCAGCACTAGAAACACCACAAACATGGTTAGATAGAGTTTGAAAAGCTCTTCAGAATGTATGCTAACGAACACACCCAACTGTTCCCTTTCCTGCAACCATGCCCCATGATTTCAAGCCGTCACAACTCCACCTCCGCAACACCAACCTATTTCTTTTTTATCTGGCCAAGAACCCGTGGAGATCGAGAGACGTATTAAAAAAATTTACAAGAAGGGTGCTCCTGCTAGATGCACAATTCACAAATGGCAAATGAAGTCCACGTCGGACGATCATTCCATCGAAAATGAAGACCGTCCGGGATGCTCAATAGAGTTGGATTTGGAGGTGCTGCTGAGCCAGATGGAAGCCGATCCGTATTAAAGTACTCGTGAACTGGGAGTCACTCTTGCGGTGAGTCAGTCCACAGTTGTTTGTGGATTGAAGTCAATCGGCAAGGTACGAGAGCTCGGTCGATGGGTGTCTCATGCTTTGAAGCAGTATTACATGGATTTTTGCGCCGACATGGCACTTTCTCTCCTCACGCGCGCAGGAGATGGTCAGGTGTATTCGTTGGTATGTATTAGGAAGAGCTTTTCATACGCTATCTAAGGTGCGCCGCGCGTCCATTTTCGTCACTTCTTTCCCGAGTTATGATCTCTAGAAGTCATCACTATCACATTGTCTGAGGACTTATGACTCAACCTAATATATGTATGTGAATGTGAATGGGTATGTGTATATGTATGTGCATCTCTATGTGCATCTGTATGGGTATGTGTATGTGGGTGCGTGTATGATTATATGCACGCATGTGTGTATGTGTGTGTATGCGCTTGCGTGTATGTGTGTGCATGTTTGTGTGTGTATTTGCCTGTGTATTGCGGTAATGTGTGTGAGTGTGTTTGACTGGGAGCTTATAACTCCTGTCTCCTTAGACATAAAATGCTCAACTTAGGTAGGGGTATGGGTAGCAGGATAGGAACAGGGGGAGGCTCCGTGAAAGGCGGGCGACCCGACGAATGGATTAATAATGGATTAATGATTGATTTAATCCTACATTCAAATAAGAATTGGCATTGCGGAAATGGTTCGGCCCGAACGAAGGGTGGCCTTTTAGATGTGAGCATCAAAGATCATGGAAGGAGATAATGTGGAAGCTGAAAAAGGTTGGATATGACCATAAAATGCAAGAATGATGAATGGAAGGGATTTTGCAAAGGCCGGTAGGGATTTGGCGTAAGCAGGACGTCTAAGAGCTTGTCGACCCCAAGGGATAGATAATAGTTGGTACCTAGTAGTAGCTAACAAAACAAGGCGATGAGAAAGTTTGTGCGGGAGCACTTTTGCAGATCCATTTTCAGTTTATTCGATTTATACATAAGGAATAAGAAATTCTTGTACGACCCACCACCCTTCTTCCGAATCGATCACAAGTCTTGCCCCAGAACGTACTGCTCAGCATCATACCGCTGAATACGCACGTGGTGACCAGAGCCTGCTGTACTGGCGATACTCCCCATTCGCAAGCTATCGCCGGTGAAAGTAACGACAGCAACATCATCTCCATTGCATCGGCCATCTAAAATCAACAGCTTCACAATAAAAATGTATCCAATGAGATTATCCAGCACTGTCTCCATATATTTATCTTCAATGCTTGTTTATTGCCAAACTGTGACTATCGTTTGCCTTTGATTTCATACATCGTAAGTGGCGGCTATGTATGAACAATTTATTTCAATTACCTATTGGGCTGAAGTGTGCTCATGGGTCTGACAGAATTAAGCGCTTTCGAACAGAGTGCTTAACTTTTCGTCTCAGCTACGTTTACCTCGGCGTCCAGCATAGAGATCTGATCACCCTTCCTTCGGTTTTATGCGCGAAATAATCCAAAGTGATGAAACATGTGTTCTGCTCGCTGTCACTCGATGTCACCCTTGGTATTATCCCCCTATGACTATAGGAAATAATGAAAAGTAACCCATAGAACGATAGCCGAAGAGGCGTATCCGGGAACGAGAAGCAACGAGAAACAGTGGCATTTTTCAGGGTGTACTCCGAATAAGTAGCTTCAATATGTGAAAAATCGAAGTGGATTCAAAAAATGAGATCATTTCAAAATGAAGAACAAAGGAAAACCTTTGCTGACAATCGCTACTTTTTGCGATGAAAAACCCCTACTCTCCTTCAATTTATGCCTACTTCATCAAAGTTTACGCCGACTATGTCGAGCGGAGTGGACCCAACTGCTCCACATCCAATGTACATGCTTCAACGTTGTAGCGACAGTCCCAGGTCCCAGTAAATAGAGTTCCACTAGTATTCATGAAGAAGCCTAATTAGGCTGTAATGTTTACGAAGCAAAGGAATCGCCTCACACCCTTTAAAAACAGTACTTGTTGCTGGGTCGAGGAAACTAAACTGAAAAAAAGAATCGGCAGGCAGTAACTGGTCACTTGGTTGAGGAGACGGTAACCTTCGCTGACGTTCCTCGAAGCCTGGAAATCTGTTGCCGTGTACATAATCAAACGTCTTCTGTCGCAGTCATCAAAACCGCGGAGGCTTCCTTTAACGAAAACCATTCTGAGCCAGAAGAGGATGACCTGGGGACATGCTAGATTGCTTCCAGAGGCAAACTCCCAATTTATTAGCTTATGAAGGGCTGCCGTAATCTTGGTCAACGAACCACAAGACGACAAGCACCTAAATTAGGTGATATCATAAAAAACGATTGAGATACTTCTACCAAAGTAAGGCAACAGCTTTTGGTAGCGTGTGGGAAATGAGTAACCAGGTCTTGCGATGCATGCCCTAAGGGGAGAATTAAGCTCTCCAGCAGTAGCTGGCCTCTGTATGAATATTCAGAAGATTTTATCCGCTCGAAACTAATAGATTGAACTAAACGGCAATGTGTGCATATGACAGAAATGCGTGTCTCTAAAAACTTATGGGGACATTCCTCCGCTCTCTAACTGAACATGGCTAACTACATAGACATGACCAAGCAGAGAACCGACTGTGCTATAAGGGATAAACTCTTTGGCATCAATCAAGCCCGTTCTAGGGATGCTCATATTTCTTCCATTCGGAAGCGTCATAACGTATTGAATGCATATTGGCCTCTACAATGGCCTGCAGTGGCCAACCAATGTAAAAACCGATGCTTTTATCCTCGTAGAGGAGTCCGGTACCAGTGATCGATCCTGGAGGGACGGAAGGCCTAGTAGGTGGATATCGATCCGAGTTCGATCCCCTGACGTGCGGATATGGTAGTGCACCACATCCCACAACACCACCTCCCAAGCAGTGCTGCACAGTTATACATGTTTTTGATTTTAAAAGGAAAATTCAAAACAGTTCGGCATTAGCACTTAAAATGATATATTATAAATCTTACATTGAAGGTGATGAACGTAGTTGTTCATCTGCTCAATTTTCGGCTAAATTCTTTTCACAACACACCAACCCATGCACGTTCACTCAATTTTGACAACATTGGATCAACATTTTCGTGCAGAACGCAAATATTATTCCGGGAACATGCTCACACGAAAACTATGACTCCGCTTTGCCCCTTTTAGGGCAGTCATATGCCAACTCAACTGCGTTTCTAAGGCTTTTCAACTTACCATCAAACATTGATGAAAAACACAAATGGAAATGGAAATTCAACAAAAAGAGCCCCAGGTTGACGAGAGTAATAATGGGAAGTGGCGTTGAGCCGTTGAAGAGTCAGTACATAAACTAATGAGGTTCTGCTAGAGTGGAACAAAAGAAATCGCCTAGCAATTTTTCGGTGAAGCTCAAAGCAACCACGAAAAAAGACGAAAAACGGGACTGACCCAAGCGATTCCAGTAAGCAGGCTGAGTTTGACTTGAAATCGTCCGAATCCGAGCGCTTCGACGGCGTCATGAACAGTGAAGGTAGCGTTCTCCTCCGACAACTGTTGATCGGCTGGTTCTCCAAGTTGAGCGCGGTCATCCAAACCATGATAGTGGACCGCTGGGTCATCTCGAACATGACGAAGTCTGCAAGAATTAATTGGTGGATTGGGAATAATATATAATCGTGAGAGCAACTCGAAAAAGATCGGTCGAAGTGATGGGAGCCCCATTACATGCCATGAATCACCGTCGTCTTGAAGACCCTACAAGGGGATTCCGCGCTGCATATCAAACGTTTTTTAATCATTCTCGACCGTTTTATCAGAAAAACCCTTCACTGCTTGAACTAATTGCAAAGCATTTGCCCATCTACTTGCCTGTCATGGAATATAATAGATACAAGATTTCGATAAGGGACGTGAAATGAAGTCAGGGCTCGCGTCAGATTCGCTCCGGTATCGTTCTGGGAACTTTTCGGCGACAAAAAGTTCGAAATTAAAAGAATCCTATTCAGACAACTGTGATTTCATCCTTTCCGAATGAATCTTTTCCAACACCTGACCACAATTGAATTCTGTTGGAGTAAAACGACCGAACAGTCAAGAATTCTCGGGGCTACAATTTGAAGAAGGTCTAAAAGTTCTCGACAACTCTCCTGAAGCTTCCCTTGTGGACTTTACAGTGTAGCATGGACCCCTATAGAAGACACCCCGACAAAACGTGCAGTCTCTATCTCCGTGTTACTCTCAGAATTTCCGAAGTTAGGTTGTCAAGATATTATTATTGTAACTACTGATGCATTAAGTATACGTTTCTGGCACATAATTCAATCACCCAGGCAAATCAATGCCTCGACGAGCCTCAAGGGAGGTATTTAGGGGATCATTCAACCAGACGGGCATGTTTTGTGAAGTGATGGAGCGCCAAGAAGCACCGTTTTGTATTGAANCGTACTCGTTTTCCTACGAACGGCAATAGGAATCAGCTGTAATTTGCAACAACTCGACAGAAACCGATAGGGAAAAGTAGGTCGAGAAAAGTTTGCTCCGGATAGATTACTGGGTTACTGGGTACTGGACATCGTTAGATCCCTGGCATGAAAACTTTTCTCCCTCTTAAACCCACCCTTTTTTCGAGCGTCTCGAATTTTGAATTGAGGGATTCATGTAACAGGATGGTAAGAATTATCAACATTGGATTACGCTGAATCCCGACCCGTACCTTCCACATATAAAAGTTATGATGTGGACTGCTCGCAACAACAAAAAACCCCCAAACAAACACCTTCCGATCATGCGAAAATGTATGAACTGTTCGCGAACAGTGAAAGGATGAAAGCATTATAAAAGACATGAATCAAAGGTAATAACTCACTCTTTGATAAGAGTATGAGCAGTGAATTCCGCATAGGTGTCCGTGAGATTTGATGCTTCAAGCACCTCGGTAAGTATTACCTTATCAGCCATGCTATCTCCTCAGTAGGGATGCCACTATACTTGCTGTGACGATTATAGTAAATAAGCTTGCCAAACGAGGTAAAACCGTGTATGTGACGGCCTCATTTCACGAAAGCGTCAAACCCCTCCCTCATCCACAGCCCTCGCCTCTCAGTGCTGCCTTATCGATCCTCTCCCTCGTTCAAAGGCCATGCCTTTCGAGACCGACTCTCATTTATGGATATGGAATGCATGTGGTGTGCTGTGTATGCAAACACTGTTTGGCTGTAAAAGTGAAAACAATGCTGCTCAAAAACATGTCGAAGAATTTTAATCGCTTTTATTCCAAAGAACGACCACAACTCATCACTGATTATTGCATTCGGCATATACGCCAAGTTGAAATCGTAAGAAGTGAGGAGTCGCAGGCTGTGAGTAACACAATGCCGTCAACCAATACTTGGCCTTAAAGTTGCCGTAGCCGGTTTCACATGGAAGCTTGCTCCTCAATGGCTAGACATAGGTGAAAACAAATACTCCTCACTCCACCTATCCCCGGACCTCTTAACAATTCCTAGCAGAAGCTTCATGCCGTCAAACGAAAGAAAAGGAAAGATCTCTATCGTTTCAATTTGACAAAGTTTTTTTTCGCTAAGTGAAAGACAAGGGAAATGCAAAATTTTTGAATGAAGCTAATGGGGCTAATAAACCTGGGCGAAAATCGTCAATGAGTCCGGAGGTTACGGAAGGGACTGATCCGGACGAAGCTGCCTGCACTTATGCTTCTACAAGGAACCACTAGCTTGGAGGTTCATTCATTTTCAAATGCAGTTCTTATGAGTTTCAGCAAACTCGAAAGACCAAACTCCGACATCTATACCCTTTATGGTAATCAAAAGATCACCTACAGATTCCCCGCAGATTGTAATCAGGGAATTGAAATCCTCATTCCGGGGTGGTGGCAGTGCCGGCGTGAGGGGAAATATTGGTTGAAAGAGAGAGATGCAGCAATGCTGACGACACGTAAAGTAAAGACCTTTGGGAGACCTTCAAAGGATGTGCATGATAAAGGCAAATGAAGTGATCTGCATCATTACAAGGGGTGGATAGGGACGAAGGCAACATGAGGAGGAAGAGGAGAAGAGGCGAGTGGGAGGGGG